GGTAGCTTTGAGAACTGAGTTACTATGAATAGAAAGTAAGTACTCGCAATAGTAGCTGGCACACAGCACTCGACAGACCTGTGTTGTTTTTTACTATTCTGTTTAAGCCAGCCTGACCAGCTTTTGTCATACTCATAGACTCCTAATAAGAGTAATAAAGAATTCATGATGCTGAAACCATTAAACTCTGGAACAGTAGTTTTAATTTAATGAGCTATAAAGAAAGACTAAGAATGTTTAGTACTGTAAGAATGACATGCTGAAAAACAGTCCCATCTTTCTAAAATATCTCTTCTCGCCAGTGATGGATCATGGGCAGATCACTGTTGACTATAAATGTAGCCCAATCTTGAGGTAAGAAAAGTCAACCCCACCTTTAAGTTATAGTCTTACTATGTGTTTCCCTTTTAGCCTTTTCTTCTTCCTCCTCCTTCCTTCTCCCTCCTCCTCCTCCTTTTTTTTTTTTTTGTGATACTGGTGCTTGAACTCAGGATTTTGTGCTTTGTAGGCAAGTGCTCAACAGCTCGAGCCATACCTCCAGTCTGTTTAGTCATTTTTTGAGCAACACCATAAAGTGTTCTGAACAAATGTAGCATGAGCTTACTTGAAAATTTTCAGGATCTGCCAGGCGTTGATGGCTCATGCCTGTAATTCTAGCTATTCAGGAGGCAGAGATCAGGAGGATCATGGTTCAAAGCCAGCCCTGACAAATAGTTCAAGAGACCCTATCTCAAAAGAACCCATCACAAGATTTACAGGATCTAGGCCTTATGCTCCAAGTCTCCTATCTCACTTCCATGGTGGAGGAGGGTACTCATGAGTCAACTGTCAACAGAGAAATGAATAAACTTTCTCCACCTCTAAAGCCTACAGGTACACTAAAAAACAGTAACCTAATTCTACCTAGTTTCTAAAGCTTGCTTTTACAGTAGTCTGTATTATTCATTTGACAATTGCTTGTTATATATGAAAATGAACAAAGCCAAAATCATCAGTATAAAAGACGGCTCTCATGAACCAGGTTTAAATCATTCGGCTTCCCAACAGTTCCCTGGTCACCCTTACTTCTATCTCACTTAAGTCAAAACAAGGAAATCTGCTTGACTTGAAGAAGAAATAGGCAATTCCTTTTCACGAGGTGCTCAGCAACACATTGGGTATGCTGGAATAGTCTCAACTAAAAAGATGTAGGCACTGCAGCAGAACGTCAACTAAATGCAGAGTGGATAATTAAGTTAGAAAGCCATCAGTTTTCAACAATCAGTGCTGATTCAGAGGAATTCATCATTGTTATTGTTCTGATGTTTAACATTATTCTACGAGGAAAAGTTTAAAAATACTAAAGATAATATATGAGTTCTACTCATGAGATATTACATTTTACTGAGAAAGGAAGTAATTTCAGCAACAACAGTGAGGAGCTGAACAGGAGAAACATGATCAGGTACAGCAGGAGATACTGCTTTCATCATCAGGAATTATCAAAAGTTTCACAGAGAAAGGTGACTTGGGCTTTGAAGGATGGGAAAGACAAAAAGGTTTTATCTATCTAAAATGATATCTAGTGAATTACAAATTATGTGAGAGTATACTTACCAGAATATGGTAATCATGACCAAAAAAGGTGGGGAGCAAAATCTGGGAAGTGAAATTACTGACATGCTATGACATCTCGACACCAGAAGGTAGCAGTTCTCTAGAGCTACCCCGGAACCAGCCAGCACCACAAATCAGAGGCCGCACAGGTAACTAACTACCTGGCTATCCATTCTCCATTAAGACCAGGATCTGGGGCAACCCATGCCTGGGACTGCCCTCCCCCCAACTCTGGGGGCTGTACTCTGCTATTTCTTTTTAATCTCAATAAACTCTCCTGCTTTACTCAAAACAACAAGAAGACCAGGATTTGATCAGCCTGACTTCCTACCTCATTATCCCATGCAGCTGACACCACATTCATCTACCAAATCTGTTTCAGAAATCAGCTTTCGTGTGTTTGTTTTAACCAATGCTGCAAAAGTCACGGACTGAACATGGAAAATATGGCTAGTAGCTGAAGCAATGACCTTAAACCTGGCCTTTCGCAATTCAGAGCCAGACTGACTCAGGCCATGAGGGATGAGAAGAGAGGTGAGGAAATAAGACACCCAGGCCAGGGGTGGAGTCATTTGGCCTCTACCTGAGGGGCCATGCTACCCTGAGTTCAGGCAAACCAGAGGTCAGGAAGGGAGTGCTTGTTGTGGAAAGTAAGCTGGCTAGTCTAACTACTGGCTGCAGCTGTGCGTTGCAGAAGCCAAGCAGAGCCCTTCCGTTGTTCTGCCTACTGGAACACAACATTCCTTGGGCTCTACACTCTACCTCTCCTCCTGGGGAAGAGTGCACACATCTTCCCCGTGAGTCACACATCTGCTTCTGCCACCTTTACAAGGGGATTATAACTGCAGGGAAAAGTAATAACCCTTAAGTCACCTCTTATTAAAACAGGTATCAGAGCTGGTGGAGTGGCTCAAGTAGTAGAGTGTCTGCCCAGTAAGCATAAGTCCCAGAGTTCAAATCCCAGTTCCACCAAAAAAACAAAAACAAAAAAACAAAACCAGGTCTCATTTCCAATCTGACCTTCGTCATCAACACAGGATGTGACGTACTCTGCCTTCCCTGGGCTGGGGGAGAAGTATTTTAGGGCCTTTTATTTCCCTGTGGATCCCACTAGTAACTCCAGGTATCTTATGTTTTAACCACCCTTTATCTGTCATATCGTAAGCAATGAAGCAAAACTCTGAAGGGAGGTCAAGTCTGGTAGAGACACTGATGCTCCATTGATCCCTGACCCAATCAAGTGTGATCAGAGTCTGCTGTGAGTGTGCCTACATCATGTCCTGCACGCCATCACAGCACTCAGCATGCTAAGGAGATGGGCCTAGTGAGTCTACTGCTATTGATGAGATGCTCTGAATTGCCACTGCTGACATACAACTCTAAGAAATGAAAAGTTAAAGTCCTACTAAGAAACAATCCAAGCTAGACTGCCAGTGGCTCAAGCCTAATAATTCTGGCTACTTAGGAAACTAAGACAGGAAGAATCACAATTCAAGCCTGGGGGTAGGGACAGTGAGAGAGACCCCACCTCAACCAATAGCTGGGTTGGGTGGCATGTGACTGTCATCCCAAGCTACAAGGGGACTGAGACTGGGAGGATAGGACTGTGGTTCCAAGCCAGCCTGGGCAAAAAAAGGTTGAGAGACCTTTGATTGCAAAAAAGCTGGGTGTGGGGGCACATGCCCGTTATCCCAGCAACAGAAGAAAGCCTAACATAGGAGGATTACAGTCTTGGCTTGCCTGAGCAAAAAGTAAGACATCCCCCAGTCTCCAAAATAACCAAAGGAAAAACGACTGGAGGTGTGGCTCAAGTAGTAAAACGCCTGCCTAGTAAAAGCAAAGCCCTGGTTTTTAAACACCAAAACCAGGAGGAAAAAAAAAGTCCACTCCCTATGAGTATATATTTATAACTGAGTACATGATTTTTGAATGATGGAAATAAGATATTTCTCATTTCTGGGAACAATTTCTTCCATGTTAATACAGATAACATCTTACTTGTCCCTAAAAAAAAAAAAAAGCCTAATAGTTTACATTTACTAGAAATACGGGGACAAATAATAAAGTTTTGGTAAGGAAAATATACCAACTACTGATCCCCTAAAATAACACATTTGTTGATTATTAGGTAATCTATTACTCAATCCCCTCAAAACCGTACTTGACCTAATTTGTACCAGCCAAGGCAATAAGTAACCTGAATGCAAGAAAATGCAGATGTGCCCAACCAGAAATGATGAAAACACCACCAGAAAGAATATATGCTCTGTACAAGTGATGTAAGAAAAAGCATCTTAGTGAAATTCTCTGTATTATTTACAGGACTCTGAGGCTTTTTAGTGGTTTGGAAGAAAAAAGTCAGTTTCTTCTGTCAAGGAAAGTTTGTTTCTACTTTCAGTATTAGTAGCAATGCTTTAAAACACCAACAAAAAGTTCCCATAAAATGCCCCCTTTGTTCTACCAAGGGTCTATAAAAACCAAAAGATTTGATGTGAAATTTGTACACAGAAATCACCCAGAGCCCATTCCTCCACTGTTGAATAGGACCTCTTGCAAAATGAGCCTGAGGTTCAGAGTTGTTACTGTTTTTTGTTTTGCTTTGTTTTTTAAACAAGAACCAAGATTTGGTTGGTTTCTCACTTTAAACTCAGCACCCATGTCAAATAAAATGTGTAGTGAAAGACTTACAAGTTGATACACTGTAACTTCTGGCAAGGTAATGATTTTACAGAACTTTAAGTCTACCGATTTTGTCATATACACTGTGATTAACAAGGAGTTGAACATCATTCTTGCAGGTGTATTTTAATACAATATTAAGTTAGGTGTAGTGGCTCACACCTGTAATCCCAGTTACTTGGGAAGTGGAGATCAGGAGGATTGTGGTCCAGGAAGGTCCAAGCATAAAGCAAGACTCTATCCTGCAAAATGCAAAAATGGGTTGGGGGCATGGCTCAAGTGGTAAAGCACTTGCCTAACATGTGCAAGGTCCTGTGTTTAATCCTCAGCACCACAAGGAAAATAAGACAAACAAAAAAGCAGACACACAACTAAATATCTAGGTGCAAGGAAAGACTTTCTCTTTCCTAAGTAGCAGAAGCCAACACTCCAAGGCAGTACTGCTCAGAAGTGGCAGGTCATCAACATACTAACAGTCCAGACAAGATTCAAAGTGCCAAAATGTAGTCAATATAGAAAACATCTATGAAGCAAAGCATGTAACTGAACTCAAATGTGCTCAGTGACATAGCTGATTTACATTCTAATGCAGTCTTACCATCTTGTAACCAATATGCCACAAGTGTGCACACCATATGTTGACTAGCCCTGTTCTGAAGTGTAAAAATGTACACATTACAGATATGTTCATCAATTTTAACCAAACACTTAAAACATGCAAATACCTGTTCCTGCAGGTCGTAGTCATAGCTGTCATGCAGCAGAAGGCTGAGGACATACCGAGTATAAATCATGGCATCAATGCCACATTTCTCCAGCTCTTGTCCCAGCCAGGTCTGCACTGGGCCCAAAGCATGAAGCAGAGACATGTCAGAAACAGACACAGGGCCTGGATAAGAAGTTGAGGAGCTTTCAGATGGCAAACCATCCACAACAACTGTACAGACAGGGTGCATGAATTTAGGTTGCTGACATCCTTAAAACTGGAAGCATTTTCTGCAGTTGCTATACTGTTGGTGTCTGGAGGGGATTTTCACTCCAGCAGGAAGGAGAGGTGCTTGACATCTAGGATAAGCATTTATGTGTGCTTCAGTCAGCTCTCTACAACACAACTTCCCTCTTCAGGCAGAGCAAGTGAATCAACATCCTGATAGTAACACACATGTAGATGCAGTTTTCTACTTTTGTTTCATATTGAGGCCAAATATGAGTCTCCGGCAAAACCTACAAAAATGAGAGAGAAAAACAATAAGCATATATGTAGATATAAAATTGAACGTTTTGAAAAAGTTTAAAAAATTGTTCCTATTTATTAAAATATCTTTGGTATCTTAAAACAAAGTTGTCCCTCCTCTTCCGGAATCTTTGACATTTTAAGCTAAGTGACACTATAAACTTTTAAAAGCTTAATTATAATTTAAAGGGAAATTGAAAAGTTGATGTTCTATTTGTGCTTAACTATACTGATTTTTATTTTGCTATTTCAAGAGACTGGACTAATAAAATTTTTGTTTATCTGTAACACTGAGAGAATTTACTAACAAATCACTAGCTCATATTTAAGTTTAATGCAAAGAAAGAATTGAACAGTAATTTCATTGAAGCACTACTTTAAAAATTAGTCCTTCAGCCAGGCACCAGTGGCTCACGCCTGCAATCCTAGCTACTCGGGAGGCAGAGATCAGGAGGATCAAGAATCGTGGTTCGAAGCCAGCCTGGGCAAATATTCAAGAGACCCTATCTCAAAAAACACATCACAAAAAAGGGCTGGTGCAGTGCCTCAAGGTGTAGGCCCTGAGTTCAAGCGCCAATACTACCCCCCCAAAAAAATTAGTACTTTAAATTTAAGTTTTATACAGGTAATAAATTTATTTATTGTTGGTACTGGGGTTTGAACTCAGGGCCTCGTCCTTGCTAGGCAGATGCTTTACCACTTGAACCACTCACCAGCCTTTTAGTGTTGGGTATTTTTGAAATAGGGTCTTGCAAATTATTTGCCAGAGCTGGCTTAAACCGTGACACTCCTGGATCTCTGCCTCCACAGTAATTAAGGTTATAAGCGTAAGCCACTGACACCTGGCTAATCAATTATTTTGTACAGCTAAAAAGTTTAAGGCTGGTCATCCCTTGTTTTATAAAAATTAACGTGAGGCACAAATTTCTTTTATACCCATGCCAAGCTATAATGTCATACCATTGTAACTTTTCTTCTTGTTTACCTAGGATGAATTTCTGATTATGACAGATGATACTCTTAATTTACTAGCTTCTCCTTTTACACACTTTCAATGTCAAGCTAATGTAATAACGGTCTTACTGAATTTAATTAGATTCTTTATGTTAAGAGTTCTGACTACTATATTCTGCTAGAAAGTTAACACGAACATAGTGAAAAGTAAAGCTTGCCAGATCAACTTTTGTATTAAGTTTAGCAGACAAGGAGGATACCAAAAAATGGCTTTCTGAGAAGTATTAATATTTATTGTTAGTAAAAGCATCAAGTCAAAAAGGTAAACACTCTCACCTGCAAAGACTTAAGGCTGAGTTTCTTGCATTTCACAGTTTTACATATGTTGAAGTGCTTTCTTTAAATAATGGTGACTCTACATAGGACTAAGTCACTGGATTACTATGTCCTTAATGGGCATTTGCACTTTCAAGAATGCTCTCTCCAGTGCTCCTCTTCAATTATGAAAGCTGATTAAAGCAAAGATTTTCTATAATGGCAGCCAGCTGAAATTTTCCAGGTGACTCAAAAAGCTAAAACATTTTCCACAAATCTAATAAATATTTGATCTCAGGATGCCAGAAAGATCACCAACTAATGCACTCAATTCTGGAAATGTCACATGAAGTAAGTTAAGAAGTGATGACTGAACCTGTGAGAAAATCTAGACATCTAGAGTCCACAGGAAGCACAGAGAGACCTGCATAGAAAGAAAACAGCAGTCTTAAAAGGACTGCCCTCGGTTATTCGGCAGAGAATTAATGGGTATATGCACATAAGGGACCAACTGAAGCACAGGAAATGACCATCATGAAGAGCAGGAGGAAACAGATCTGATGTTCAACAGGGGATATTTGCCACAAGGCAGGCCAGAAAACTTGTAACTCCAGGAGACTGGGTAGAGTACTCAGAAGGGTCTTTGTCATGGGGAACAATTAGCCTCAGACTAAACATTGCTCTGGTCTTCCCTAAGAAATCTTTTAAAGGACCCGAAAGGACCAAACTATCTCCAGCTAATTTCGTCATGTCCTCACAACGAAGCTCAAGGGTACTATGGGATACAGAGTGTACCCAGATCCTGGGAAGGTAGAGTTTACAGTGTCTGCGTTCATCTAAAACCAGTAGGGAGTCCAAGTGAAGAGAAGAAAATGCATTTAAATGGACTCAGGTTAACACAGAACTTATTAGCAGAGGACATTACAACAGTTATTCTAAGTTGGGAATTATGGCCCACACCCGTCATACCAGCACTCAGGAGTACGAGGAGTTTGAGTCCAAACTGGACTACACAGTGAGTTCTAAGCAAGCCTGGGCCACACTGCAAGACCCTGTCTCAAAAAAAAAAAATAATAATAATAATAATAGCATGTTAACACTAACAGAAAGAAGTTACAATCAATGTCTACATTAATATTATTATCTATCTGATGAAGTAGATTTCAGTATAAAGATAAAGACAAAGTAGGACAATTCATAAGATAAAGGGGTTGATTCATCAAAAGGACCTAACAGTACTATTTATCATACATCTAATAGCAGAATCCAAAAAATATATAAAGCAAAACTGACAGTCAGGTGCCAGTGTCTCATGCCTGTAGTCCTAGCTACTCAGGAGGCAGAGATCAGGAGGACTGTGGTTCAAAGCCAGCCCAGGCAAATAGTTTGAGAGGCCAACACAAAAAAAGGGCTGGCAAAGTGGCTCACGTGGTACAGTGCCTGCCTAGCAAGCCTGGGGCCCCGAGTTCAAACCTCAGTGCCACCAAAAAAAAAAAAAAAAAAAAGATTGAAACTGCAGGGAGAAAAGACAAATTTACAATTGTACCAGATTTCAATACTCCTTTCTCAACACTGATTTTTTTTCTTTTCCTTTTCTTTTTTCTTTGGTGGTACTAGGGTTTGAACTCAGAGCCTTGCACTTTTGTTAGGCAGGTGCTTTACCACTTGAGCCACAGTCTCACCCCTAAAATATGTATTTCTAAATAACAAGACAAAGGAGAAATTAAGAAAGTATTTGGAACTGAATGAAAATGCTACAAAAGCAGTTACTTACCTAGGAGAATTTTTTTTTAATTTAACATTTGTTTTTAGCACATATTGGTTGTTCAGGGGAGTTTCATTGTGACATTTCTATACATGTTTACAATGTATCTTGGTTAGGTCTGCCCCCACCATCAACCAGGGAGAAATTTATAATAGTAAGTGCCTATATCAGAAATATAGTTCTAGGAGAACAATGGCTTTGACTCCAGCAAATGACTATGTTGAGCTAAAAAGAGACTCATTCAAATCTCTTTTCCACAGTTCACATGCCCTTCCCCATTTGCCTGTAGACTATACCAGATACTTTTCCTTAGACCCAGAAGACAGGATGCTAATCGCCAGTTATTCTGAGGTAGTACTACATGCCCAAGAGGAACTTGAGGGAATTGGGAAATACCTATCTTTATGTTCGAAAGGACTCAAATTTCAAGAGGTCAAGTTTCATTACAGTTGCATGTAATCATGAATAGTTCAATGACAAAGTCAGACTGTATGCGACAAGAACAGATGAAGCTTACTAACAAAATAAAGAGAACTGAGAATAACTAGGCCAAGGGGCCAAGGGGCAAACACTGGTAAGAAAGCTTTAGTTAAAATGAGGTATATTATGCTGCAGACACAGCTACCTTTTCTTTGTATCTGCTCGTGTTACATGTCCACCCTAGACTGGCAGGGACGCTCAGTGCATCTGCTCACCATGATCATTCTGGGACCCAAGGTGACAAAATGGCCACCACACTGACCTCTGCTGCTAGTCCAGGAGCCAGAGAAAACAAGCTCTATGCCAAGTGTGCACTAGTGCTTCAAACACTTTCTCCTGAAAATGAGTTTCTCTCAACTTAACAGTCAAAGCAAGTTGCCTGGTCTCTCTTCAAGGATAGGTGTCACAGCCATAATGACCACTTCAAGGGGCAAAACATGGGCTCCTTAATAAGAAGCATCTAATGCCTAACATTGTTAAAACCAGTATTTTTTTAAATTTGTTTTTGGTGGTTCTGGGGTTTGACCTCAGGGCCTACACATGTACTTGCTAAGCAAGCACTGTACCACTTGAGCCATGACTCCAGCCCTTTTTACTTTAGGTATTTTATGAATAGGGTCACACACTTATGCCCAGACTGGCCTGGACTGTGATCCTCTTATTCATGCTACTTGCTAGCTGAGATGACAGATGCACACCACCATGCCCAGCTTTTATTGGTTGAGATGGGGTCTCAGGAACTTATCCCCCCTAGGCCGGCTTCAAACCATGATCATTCCATGACCCTCCCAATTTCCACCTCCCAAGTACCTAAGAGTATTCTTGTAGAGTTAGTCTAAATATTAGAGGCCCAAATAAACCAAAACACCACAAAAGAAAAAAATAATCCATGAAAGAGACAAAAGTAATACACATGCTCAGAAACGTTTCTAAAATCAAGAGCACAGCTGAAACACGGCCACCTAATGGGCAATGGAGTCCATTTCTGCTCTGCCCCCTGAATTACTTAAAGTCCCCTGCACCCTCTTCCTCTGCACAGGGCAGTCGTCCTCAGGGTGCTTTGCCTGAGAGGTGGGTACCATCATCTGTCACTATTTTAGGCCAAATAGTGACAGAACACCTAGGACTTGCCAGGTGGTCCAAACTGTGTGTGCTCAACTGCTTCCCAAATCTAAATGTGGGGGAATAAAACCATTTTATTTCCCAAGATTTGGGAAATAAAGCAATATGAAAATACTAGTGTGTATGTGTGTGTAAGGAGGGGGATGCCAACCTTGGTTAAGTTCTAAATCCACAAGCAGGGTGGATAACTCTTGAACCTGGGAATTCTAACTCAATCTTTTACCACCCTGATCTCTGCTAGAGGCTTCTTGTGTGCCATGTGCTGTGGGTGGTACTGGTAATAGAAAGTCAACGGCCCTCAGGTTTTCCCCCTCGGTGTTCACCAATCTGTATCATTAGTGAGCTTTGATTTCCTGCTTAGGTAAACCAACTTGTACTTCCCACTGAAATCCTCTGCCATTCCATTGATCTAGTATGATACTTTTGCGATTTATGTCTTTAAATATATATTTTTAAGTTGTCCTTCCTCACTACAAAGTTTGCAATAAATTTGCTGAAGTGCCCAATATTCAGAGGTCTGCATTACCTGCAACTGTCTTTTCATAATTATTCAATTTGGGTGTCTACAGCCTTCAAGGGGAAGCGGTAAAAGAAGGAGGAAGAAAAAAAAGAAGAGGAGAAAGAAGGAAGAGGAAACAAAGAAAAGGATATCTGAAACACTACAATTCTAGCTTTAGATGATACTACTTTTGAGCAAGATCCTAAATAGTATTTGCCTGGTAAACCAGAGTGCAAACACGTAATGAAGTAGTTATATATTTATAAATAATTGTTTCCTGTTATCTTCTGACCTCAGATCAATAATTTGAAGCACAAACCACTGCTTTTCCTCTTCCATAGGCAATCTGGCTCCAAGGCCTATGTACAGCCAGAAGTGAACATCCACAAAGAATCTACAACCACTAGGCACCAGGGGCTCACGCCTATAATCCCAGCTACTCAGGAGGCAGAGATCAGAAGGATCATGGTTTGAAGCCAGCCCAGGCAAATAGTTCTTGAAACCCAATCCTGAAAAAAACTCATCACAAAAAAAAGGCTTGATGGAATGGTTCAAGCAGTAAGAGCACCTGCTTAGCAAGTATGAGGCCCTGAATTCAAACCCCAGGGCTGGGGAAAAAAAAAAAAAAAAATCCCTGAAACCAGGGAGCAAGGGCTGAAAGCTGATCATGTAAGCCTGTTTACTCTAGGTTATCTGAGAAACTATGTCTAAATGCACAGTCAGATACACAGTCTTCTGCCTGCAGGTCTGAAGACTAACATGTGTCAAGTCCTGGGAAATGAATACAGCTTCTTTTTAAGATAATGTAATCAATAAAACTAGTGTGGAACCTCAGCTGTTGTTATGCAAACAGGAGGAACTGCATAAAGATGAAGAAATTCCACTTTAACTAGCCAGGTTCTTAGAAATGAACTAGTATAAGTATCTATTCTCCAGTGACACTGAAAACTCCTTTCACAAACACAGCATTCTTCTTACACACTTCTACTTGATAGCAACATAGCAATTAAGGGTTTTAATAAATTAAGACCTAGATAATCTTTATGTTTAAACGATAAGATGAGGCCCTGGGTTTGAGCCGCAGCACAACAAAAAATAAATGAATAAAAATTAAAAGGTGGGAAAGATGAAGGCAAAAGAAACAAATTTATAATGACAAAATACAGACAAAAGCAGCCAGTTCCATATAGAATGAGAAGTGCTAACTAGACTTCCATTAAAGCAAAACATTAAAGCAAGGTCAAGTGTATAAGAAGACCCCAAAACGGAAGAGCTTTCTTTCCAACCTGAACCAGTTCTCCTCTACTGACCATGCCACTGGCAAATGCCCACAGAACTGAAACCTTTGCTCAGCGTCTACATCCTTATTGTTTCAACTAGGATATTAGGAGATACACTGCTTATGTAAAGTCACACTGCTAAATGTCCAATTTTTACTTAATTCCCAGTTATCTAATGAGTCGTACTCAGTAATATTCTTTGGCTTGAAAAGCTGAACTACCACCAGATTAAAACTGTTTGCATGTTATCACATTACAATAATCAATATACATGTTTCGCTCACTTAGATGCTCGTTAGAATGAAACATCTAAATTTTAGAAATTTTAATGAGGAATTAAAACTTATATTCACACTAAGAAATTCAATTTTTCAAAAACCCTAAGAAAAGTCTATCTAGAAACAAAACAAAGAATTTCTGAAAATGCAAAAAGGTCCATCAGGATCAAAACTATTTTGCCAAAGCTGAAACAATTAATGATGAGAAACACAAGATCATCACAGTGTGCCAGTGCAATTTCTCACAGTGATATCAGAGCTTGTCAAAATGCCTGGGCGTAAACGTTCTACAGGTTTCAACTATAAAATGTACTCAGCTCAAAACCACAAAGTGATCTATCTTTCAAGTTTCAACCAAAGGGAGAAAGTGGCCTAAAATTCTGCAATTGGTGAGACAGTGAATTGGTTTTTAATTACAGTAAAAAGCTATAAGCTAAGTGATAATATGTCACAGTTCTCCAAAATGGACTTAGGTAGTAATAAGCAATACTTCAGTAGTACTTAATATGTAATTCAACAGGAGAATTTTATGGACTATTTAATATCCTACTAGTTAGGAATTTTAAAGCGTTCAAATGAAACTCTCTATTTGATTATACTAGACAACTCAAAATAGGATCAAAGTACGTTTTCATTTTTCATCCACTAATTATATGCTTCAAACATTAAATCACGTTCTAAATGTGGCTCTTATGGTAACAAACAATTCTTCTAGTCCCTTGGAAGGTATTTAAAAGAAGGGTGTCACCATTTAAAAGACAACCTGCAACCTGGTGTAGTGCCATACTGTGATCCTAACACTGGGGAGGCAGAGGCAGGAGGATGGTAAGTTCTAGGCCAACCAGAGCTACAGTGAGTTCAAGGCCAGTGGGAGACTGTCCCTTTGAAAAATAAAAAAAAATAAATAAATTTAAAAGGGGGAAAGGTGCTACACAGTTTCCCAAAAGTAAATCCTGGGTGATATAAATATGTATGGTATTGTTAGCCAGACCCTAGTGGCTCAAGCCTGTAGTCCTAGCTTCTTGGGAGGCTGAGATCAGCAGGATTGAGGTTTACGGTCAGCCTGAGAAAGAGTTTGTGAAACCCCATCTTCCAAAATAACTAGAGCAAAATGGACTGGAGGTGTGGTTCAAACAGTAGAGCACCTGCTTTTCAAGCATGAAAAATTATTTGTTTTGTATAAATTAGGAAGATAACCAGTGCTGAAACAAGAGCAGCTTGTTTAACTCAGAACTTCTTGAAAAGTTCATGCTCAAGTGCATCTGGGGCCTCCAAAAAGGAAAAAGGAGGTAGCAGTTTGTCTGCTTATTTGTTATTTTTTTGACCTTCTTTCTGCTTCCTTGGAATACACTTTGGGAACCATGGCCTTTTAATAAAAGAACTAACATTTTTAAGTCAGGCACAGTGGTGCACACCTGTAACCCCAACTACTTGGGAAGTTGAGGCAAGAGGATCACAAGTTTGAAAACAGCCTGGGCAACTTAGACCCTGCTTCAAACAGACAAAAAACGTATTCCCAAGGCCCAAGTTATAAGCAAGACACCGGCACTCCTTTTCACATGTATCAGAAATGTCCAGATTCTCCCCTTTCCCCTGCCCATGCCTCAGGCCTTGAGAGCGTGCTGGCTGCACTCCTCCTTCTCAGTGGGGCCTTGCGGCACACTGCCTGCCCACCTACACAGCAGTGAAACCGGCACACTGGCATCAAGGAGGCACTTAACCACCATCAAAATGGTCCTATTTATAAAATGGTTTATAAAGGCTTTATAAAACAATCAGTTTTAGTGAATCAAAAGGCAAAAACATCTGATGATAGGATGTTAGTGGCAACATCTCCACTAAGCAGTGAACCCAACTGGTCAGTGGCAGTGTAATTAAGGAGCGGCAAGTATGGGCAGAGCAAGAGATAGCACCCAGCAGCTCATGGAGGGAGGCCAGACAACCTGGAGTCCCTGTATTTAACAAACATTTGCTAAGTGTCAGGCACAGTTGCTAAACGACTTAGAAACTCTACAAAATTTAATTGCACTCTGAGGTATTCTTGAATTTGGGAAATACACTGAGAACTAAAGTCCCAACAACACTTTTTTTTTAATTTTTATTTTATTCATATGTGCGTACAATGTTTGGGTCATTTCTCCCCCTTCCCCCAACAACACTTTAAGGCAGAGTTAGCACTGATGTCTATTTATCTTAGGGAACTCTTGCCAGATGAGTTAAAAAGGCACACTGTTCAAAACCTTAAGTACAAATACCTCAAAGACAAGTTAACAATGTAACAGTCCCAAAAATATGTAAACTATTCAACAAAGATGGAATACCTTAGATTAGAATTTTACACTAATTAAAACTTCTCAAAAAATAAACTGAAAGGCAACCTATAGAGATCTACACAGATCAGAACATGACATGTTCAAATTATAAATATTACTACATAACAAGGTGTGTTACTTACTTTTGCACAGCAGTGACCAAAACATCTGGGAGAACAATGTAAGTGAGAAAGATTCACTTTCCCTGAAAGAGCTTCATACAGACTAATTTCCTTCTTCTGTGCTCTGTAGTCCTCTATGATACTATACCAAAGTCCCCTTTCTTTGTCTTGGAGGAGGGGTGAAGATGGAGCATTCTGAATGGATTCAGATTCCATAACAGAGACACCATTCATGCCTCCTTCAAGGTAGCCAACTAGTGTTCTCATATGAAGGTGCTAGGAAGGAGGAAGGAGGCAGGAAATTCAAAAAAAGAACTAACTAAAATGTAAGGCTATCCACTTCCCCACCAAAGAACTGAGATCCTTTTTACAAGAGCAACTAGAGCTATGGCTGATTAGGACAAAGTAGCCCTCCTCATTCTCCACTTCTAGGATATGGCCCACTGCTAGTACTAATGTTTGCCTTTATTACAGGAACAGCATTTGTGTATTACACTGTTCAGTTATAAGGCATGAAACTGTAATACCAGTGAGCTCACCACTCACCCTAGAGCTAACATGCTACCATTGACTTGTCCATTCCTCCTCTATCCCATTTCACTGCCTCTTTCCAGCAGAAGTTACTGACCTATATTTGGTCATTTCTTTGAATTAAAAAAAATTATAACAAATGCTTATGTACTGAAACAGTCCACCACTCAGCAGCACTTACTCTTCGGCTCTGTAACTGGTACAATGCTCTTGTAAGTCTTCAGGAACTTGTATTTTTCACTATTTTATAATACTCCACCATGTAAATACCATATTAATTCAACATCCTGCTAATGGACTTTTGAGTTGTTTACAATATTTTGCTACTTTGAATATTGCTGCTATGAAGAGACTTGTATGTAACTCTTGGAATACATTTCTCCTGAATATATACAAACTCTAAACTGCATAAAACAATGTAAGTGAAATAAGTATTACTAGTACAAAGCATCTCAGTACCGTACTCTAATTAGCAACATATCTGTAACCCTTAATCCACAAGCTTGCCAGACTTGGTACTCAGAAACTTAATTTTTGTCAAGGCAGGGAATGTAAAAAAAAAAAAAAAAAAAAAAAAAACCTCATTGGAGATTTCCTTGATCATTAAGGATGAGCACCTTTTCATACATTTATTGGCCATAAATGTTTCCTCTTCTCTAAGACACCTGTTCATAGATTTTACTTATTTTCCATTGGATAGTTTCTTTGTTGTTTTTGTTGATTTGCAGTTAATTCATATACAGACACCAATCCTTTGCCAGTTACATGCCCTGTAAGTGTTCCTTCCAGCGTATGGCTTGTCATTGTTTTTTCTTCATGCTGTTCTCTGAAGAACAAAACTTCTAAATTTAATATGCTGAATTTTTCACTCTTTCTTTTTATTGTTGGCACTTTTTGTGCCCTAAGACTTTTTGCTCCGAGTATCATATATGTACCAGCAGTTGAGCACACCCTGGAGCTTATAAGAAATGCAGACTCTCAGACCCCAACCCAGTCCCACTGAATCAGAATCTACATTTCACCAGTAACCCCCACACACTCCTCAAACATCCCTCTTTACCATAAAGTCAATTAGATAATGGTCTACATTTTCTTCTGAATATCTTTTTTTCCCCACATTGACAGTAGAATTCCTAACCACTCCTTCCCTTCCCTATATAAATCATCCACCTCTTTATACAACATGGATAGTCTGGCACTGCCCCTCTGTAGGCAGACTCATCATGCATCATTTCACGTGACTGGTTTGGGTAATGGACTACAGTGGACATAACGTATAATATGTCAAGCAGAAGCTTTAAAGCTTTTTTTTTTTGGTGGTACTAGGATTTGAACTTGGCCTCACACTTGCTAGGCAGGCACCCTATCACTTAAGCCACTCCATCAGTCCTATTTTTCAGATAGGGTCTTGCTTTTTTTTTTTTTTTTTGGTTGGGGGGGGTCTGGGCTGGCCTCAAACGGTGATCCTCCTGCCTCCTGAGTAGCTAGGATTACAGGTGTGAACCACCAGCACCCAGATCGGTTTGGCCTCTTGTTTTTCTCCCAGTATCACTGAAACAGTATGTCCAAATGGAACGGACTCCTCAGGATTGTTCCCGAAAGGAGAAGACTTATCAACAGAACCACAGCAGCTAACTCAAAGCCACCAGTAAGTGATGGGTGCCAAAAAGCAATATTTGGTATTTAAGCCACTGAGCTTTGGGTTGTTTCATTCTGTTATCCGAGCACAACCTCATAAAAACTAATAAAGCATCCAAGCCCTTAACCCATTTAGAGGCTTCCCATATCCAGAATCAGTGAAAGTCCATCTGTGAGAAGTTATCAATTTCTTTTTTTTTTTTTTAAGGTGGAAAACCAAGACTCCCAGCAGCACTGACAGATCAGCTTCCTACCCTCACGTATAACTCCATGACTCTCATATGCCAAGTTCCATGAATCCTATGTCTGCTTGGGACCCTCTCGTCGCTAACTGTGCATACCATATGTTAACACCATGCTATCTTCACTACTAGATCTTACATGAAGCCTCAGGATTCTCTTTAGGAGTCTCTCACCTCTTCTTGGCCCTTTGGCTTTCTAATAATCTTAGATCAGTGTGTCACATTCTATGAAAGCCCTGCTTGGAATTCTGATTGACAATGCATTGTGTGTATGTGTGTGTGTACATGTACATATACATCTGAAGAGAACTGACTGATTTATAGCACTGTCATCCTGTTTATTAATAAAAGCACTTTCCATTTAATTTAGATCTCCTTTCATGTCTGTCTTTCTTGGGGGTAGGGAGACGTCTGTGATTGGGTCTTGCTATATAGCCCAAGCTGGTCTCAAACACAGGACCTTCTTGTGTCAGTCAGCACAGTGCTGGAGTTACAACATGCATCAGCATGCTTGACTTCCTTTCATGTCTTTTAAGTTTTAAATTTTGACATACAGACCCCGATGAATCTAACCCCACATAATAGGTTATAGATTTTCTTAGGTTTTCTATACAAAATCATCTGCAAATGACAACATTTTTGTTTCTAGCATTCCAACCCTTTTGCCTGTGAATACTATTCTCTCTTTGTGTCGGCTGGGATTCAGCTATGCCGCTGAGAAGTGGTACTTTATCTCATACACAGGAAATGTTCCCACACTCCCGCATAAGACTGATGTGCGATCTCTGTAAGGCAGGTTTTCTTAGACACCCTTTACTGACTAAGCACACTTCCTCCTACTTGAAGTTTGCGAGACTGTAGCTGTAGCTCAGTCACCTGAATCAAGACTTAATGAGTTGGCTGGTGGAGTGGCTTAAGTGGTAAGAGCACCTGCCTAGCAAGTGTAAGGCCCTGATTTCAAACTCCAATATCACCAAAAAAAGAAAACACTTAATGAGCAAAGACACTTTCTTTCTCCTAAGTATAGTTTTCCTTGAGCAGCAAAAACCACAGCTCGCATGTGAGTCCTTGCTATGTAAGATGTGTATGTGCATGTGCAGTTCATTGGGAGATACTGTTACTCCCTTTTCACAAATGAGGAAACTGAAACTCAGAAGAGAAAATTAATCTCCCCAGTAAACATGAGAAAAGGAAGAGTAGGAGGCTACAACTGGCTCCACAGCCAGCTGTCCTTCATCCCTGTAGTGGCTCATCTACCTACAAGGGTCCTTGTGGCCCTAAAGGCAATGGGCTTCAGCTGCAATTACTCCACATCAAACTTGGGATTTGCAGCAGTTACATTCTACCCTGATGAAGTTCAATTGGGCCACAGGTTCCTTAAGCAATCTCTGAAATTATCAAAACAGGACACATTCAACAGGGGAAAAGAAAAAGAAGATGAAATGAAATTAGCCAAAAATTTCAAGTTCACAGGAAAGGTAACAAAATTTGGGGAATGAGTAATTAGTCCAAGAAGTTTAATGTCACTTCTAAGTATTTGAAAATATGCATGACAGATGGCTAAAGAAAGCCAAGGAGTCTTGACCTCACCAAGAAAAATAGCAGGTTGAGACAGATCTCATGTGAAATGACATGCTTGAGGAAACCAGTGTATTTGATCTGGGAAAGAAAAGGTTACTATGCACTCTAGCTCTGTCCAGATGCACACACAACACATATTCACAGTTACCTATGTAACTGTGAATGGGGAATGAGGAGAGTCACAGAGAAAGGGGGACAGATTTACCCGACATTCTCCTGAAGGCTGACAGTGAGTCAAGTAAAATCAATCAAAAAATGTGGCCCAACTGTGACACTGATACATTATACAGACCCCAAATAGCAGGACATGTGGCCCATCTGCTGGGAGTGTTGTGCTAGCCCCTTCAAGGACTAATTCAGGTGCAGGAACACTGTCTCCTTACCCTTTCCCCTGTGACACTTACTGACTAACTGGCCATCTAGCCAAGGGCTCTTCCAGCCTCCCAAGTCCCCAGAGGTCCAACAAAGTTATGGTGTGGCCAGGCCTGCAAAGCAACTCAACACCTCCCTCCAGTCAGTGTAACACCCTGCATGCTAAGAAGCTATCTGCATCTGCTTCCCCAAGAAACCAACGTGAGATGTCTACTGAAAGCTGGCTGCCCATAAGATGTAAGTGCCTCCACCTGCATCTGAACAGCAGCAACATTTACTATGTGCAGGACACAGTGATGGACTCAAGCTGAATCTGGAGGACAATGGCAGCATGTTCACAGGTGACTTAACAGCTAAGAGAATGTGATTTCAGCACATGGATAAAATGATCACCCTCAAGGTCCTATTCCTTCTGCACTGCAGATACACCAATTGCACTCTATAGAAACTCTATGTTCTACTTTAAGAACACAGACATGCTCCTCAAAGTCCTAGGCACTGTAGCCACTTTGAGTGAGTACAACTTTTCCTTCTCTGACAATTTTCAATGCACCTCAATCTATTCATTTTCAATCTACCTTCAATCTGTACAGAAAATTAGATTAAGTCCTTCAAAATATCTAGAATTCAACATTCCAATAAGTATAGTAGCCACTATTGGCCATTTTAATGAAAAGTAAATAAAATTTGAAATTCAGTTCTTCAATGGCACAAGCCACATTTCAAGTATTAATAGCAAGGTATGGTAGCTCATACCTGTAATTCCAGCTACATGGAAGGAAGAAGTAGGAAAATTGCAGCTCACCAGCTTGGGCAAAAACACAAGACCCTACCAGAATAATAAACTAAAGCAAAAGTGGCTGGGAATGTGGCTTAAGTAGTAGAGTGCTTAAGTAGTAGAGCAAGGCCCTGAGTTCAAAACCCAGTATAATCAAAAAAAGAAAAGAAAAAAAAATAGCATAAACCAACTCAGTGTGGGGTATGTAAGTGTAGACTCTCCCACCGGCAGTGAAACTTTCTTACACACCATTCAAATGATAGACTTCAATCATGAT